GACGACAACGACGACGACGACGACGACGACGACGACGACGACGACGACGACGACGACGACTACTACTACTACTACTACTACTACTACTACTACAGTTGCAGAGACGAAGGGATCTAGGCTTTGGGGTCTGGAGTTGAACATCCAGCAGTCCTAAACGTGCCGCAACACGAGAGAGGCACAGCCTTTGCAGCTTATAGAGGGGCTAAGGGCTAAAACCCTAAAGCCTAAACCCTAAACCCTAAACACTAACCCTAAACCCTAAACCCTAAACCCTAAACCCTAAACCCTAAACCCTAAACCCTAAACCCTAAGGCTAAGGGGGTTTATAAAGGATTCGAGATACATGAGTCTGGCGGGGATATTCGGGGGCGGTTCGGTGGAAAGGGTGGTGGAAACTGAGGCTTCCACAACTCGGGACAGTCTCTAACGCCTGAAAGCGGAGCCCTAAACCTAAAGCTTGTAAACCCTAAGCAAGGTCCCTAGACTTTAAATCCCAAACCCCGGACACTGCCCCTAGAAATGCAAACTCTAAGCCTCAAACCATCCCGTATCGCATGCTGCGAAGACCGTTCCCTACCATGAACAAGCCTTGTCTATAAAAAAGTTCCAGCCAGAGCTTTCGAGGCACCAGAAAACTGCAACCCCAAAAAAAAAAACCCAAAAACCCCAAAAAACGCCAAAACCCCCAAAAAACCCAAAAACCACAAAAACCACAAACCACAAAAAAAACCAAAAACCCCAAAAACCCAAAAAAAGAACGAAAACACCAAAAAATGCCAAAAACACAAAAAAATAAATAAATAATACACACCCCCAAAACCCTAAACCCCAAACCCCTAAACCCCTAAACCCCAAACCCCTAAACCTCGAAACCCCTAAACCCCTAAACCCCTAGAACCCCTAAACCCCTAAACTGCGTGAGGTCGGGGTAGTCGCTTGCACTACTATTTGGCTCCTCACCAGCCACTCGGTCTCGCTCTTCTTTTTGTTCTCGCGTTCGCTTTCCAGTCTTCGTTCCGTGCACCCGGGCTATCAACGGTTATGCAGTAGCACTTTCCTATAGCCAATGGGTGAACTACACTCTTGGGTCTTGAGCCAAAGGTAGTCGGGCCGAGGCGCACTACGATGGTTCCCCCGATATGCCGCGGAGCCCCTAAACCCCTAAACCCTAAACCCCTAGAACCCCTAAACCCCTAAACCCCTAAACCCCCAAACCCCTAAACCCCTAAACCCCTAAACCCCTAAACCCCTAAAACCCCTAAAGCCCAAAGCTGAGCCAGAGGACGCCAGCCGATCCACGGGCAATCCGTCCTGCCCGGGGCGATCCGTCACCAGCACGCCCCGGAGCAAACCTAGGTTTAGGGTTTAGGGTTTAGGGTTTTAGGGTTTTAGGGTTTAGGGTTTAGGGTTTAGGGTTTAGTGTTTAGGGTTTAGGGTTTAGGGTTTAGGGTTTAGGGTTTAGGGTTTAGGGTTCAGGGTTCAGGGTTTAGGGTTTAGGGTTTAGGGTTTAGGGTTTAGGGTTTAGGGTTTAGGGTTTGGGGTTTAGGGTTTAGGGTTTAGGGTTTAGGGTTTAGGGTGTGCTGGTATGAGAGGGGCCCCTTCATTGGGGGGTATAAAGGAGAGGACCCGCATGTTTGTGTCTCTTTGGGTTTTGTGTGCAAAGCTTGGCGTTCTACTTGCAATGACACTCCAAGCATGGCGGATATTGATGTTGTGTGTGTGTGTGTGTCGATGTGCATCGGCAACGTCACTGTTGACAGGTGCGCTATCTCAAATTGAGACGCTCACAGGCGCAATGCGACACTGGCTTTCCAAGACTGCACTGCCAGACTGCCAGCCTGAAGCACTGAGCCACCAGCTGCTTAAGTTTGCCGAGTTTGCGGTGTGTTTGCTCTTCAGTGCAATTTGCCTCGTTGGTCCGGTTTGTTGCTGGGCTGTGTTGGTGTTGCTTCTCTTCTTGCTTAGTGCACTGATGGTCTCTATTAGGGAAGAGGTCAACCCGGAAGGCTCAAACTTTAAACCCCTCAACCCCTAGGACCCGAAACCCTCAAATCCCAAAACCCTTGAAGCCCCAGGCTTCTGAAACCCCCCCTTTACCCGGCTTTATCCTTGCCTCGCCACTCCTCAGCAGCTGCGTTTCAAGGAAATAGGGTTGAGGGTTTAGGGTTTTGGGGTCTATGAGTTGAAGGGTTTAAGGGTTGAAGGGTTTGTGGGATTAAGGGTTTAAGGGTGTGGGGGTTTATGGGTTTAAAGGTTTAGGGTTTCGCTGAAGGTCTGTAGGTTGAAATTGTCCCTGCAGCGACCCTTGCCGTAAGATGCGCAGGTCCAGGGCACCCAGCGTGCTATTGGTACCTAAGATATCCCCAAAACACTCTAAGCCCGACTATAGGAACCCTGTTTTGGGTGCCCCTGCGGTCGATAGCTTCCCCCCCCCCTCACCGCTTCGGAGACATTCGCGGGACGAGCAGCCGTAGGTGTCGACCGTCTCCATGGTGCCCAACTTCCAGCCCGACACGTAGCCGCCCGAAGCGATGAGGCCGTCCTAAGACACATCGACACCGCTTTTCGCAGACTTCAGGTGAAGAATTGCGCAGAGAGGGTTGGGGGGGGGGCTTTTGTTTCAGTACAAATCACCCCCACCGCCCCACAAGGGACCCCAGTTCCGCAGATGCTGAACCAGATCCTCCAACCGAAGGGGCAGTCCTCAGAAAGGAAAACGAACGCTTCCATCTCTTAACAAATCAAGACGCTATTGAACAGTGCGAGGCTTGTGGGGCTTAGAGGTGGGCGCCATTCCCTTCAGTGGATCCGAGAGTCTATCTGGGAGGAGACACTGCCTCAGCCGAGCAACACCACTAGGTTTGGGGCTTAAGCGGTTTACAGGCTTTAAGGGCCATCGGTTTGGAGTTGAGGAAACAAGGGTTTCAGGTTTAGGGCAGTTGCGGTTCCAGAGCCGGCGTGCCCTTACACCTAGAGGCCCACCGAAAACTCTGAAGCTCAAGCACTGAACCCTGCTGAACCCTGTTACGCGCAAGTGCGCGCAAGTGCGCGCAAGCGCGTGAGGGAAGTGTGTAGACCAAGCGGCTAAGGTCGAGGTCTGCCTCCTGTAGGTTGAGGCGGTCCAGCTCGGCAAGCGCATCCTTCCCGAGTTATGGGGAGTTTGGGGCTTGTGGGTTTCAGGCCCTCGGGGTTACCCCTTCGGGTTCCGGAGGGCCCCCCTGGGCTGCACGGCGCGGCTCGCATTTCGGCTGCGGGGATCGCTTGGCTGATATCCTCACTCATCCAGCCTTCATCAGGACATCATCTCACTTCATTATTCCCGCATGCGGCGTACAATATACCTCTTCTTGTTCTCGAACTCCAGGCGAAAGATATTCCGGCACCGCTCTTTATTCCCCAGGATGACGACATTTAGTCGCTATCCCGTATGCCTGAGGTCCATGATGAGGAAGAAGACAAATGCCCATCATCATCAATGTCTGGTCCTCATCCCTCATCCCCTGTGGCAAAACCCGAAACTATATACCAGCGAACTCGTCACATGCTCTCTGTTACTAAAACATGATGCGCCAAGCAGGACCTAGGGTTTAGGGTTTAGGATCTAGGGCTTCGGGTTTGGGATCTCGGGTTTGAGGTTTAGGGCTTCGGGGGGTTATGGTAGACTTTTCGGCACTGGGGCCCTTCCAGCCTCCAGAGCCTTCTTGCTGGCCGCGCTGAGCTGATTGTTGCCATCCTGACCCAAGGGATTGGGGGATTGGGGGGTTGAGAGCTTTAGGATGTTGAGAAACCTGAACCCGAAACCCCAAACCCTCTGGGTTTACGGGGCGGCTTTTAAGGATTCCGCCAATCGGCTTAACCCAATTCTGAGCATGTCTCTTTCTGGAAACCCTAAACTGAGACCCTAAACCCTAAAACAGAAACCCTGTAGTCCATGATTCCCACTTCCCTACAAGGGAGTAGGTTGCAGCGCCAAGGCAAAACCTGGACGGCAACCAGTCCCAACACTGACACTCCAGGATTCGAGGCGTCTGCCACACTCCTACTTCTGGGGCTTGGGGCGGCTTTGGGCTTAGGGTTTTGGAGTTTATCTCATGAAGGGAACCTAGGCCCTCGACACCAAACCGCTAACTAAGTAACTAGGTTGCTTGGCCTGGAACAATCGTGTCTTCGTCCCGAAAGCGTGGCGACGGCTTGTTCACTTCTTCTGTTTAAGGCAGGGGTCCGGGACCCAGCTGTGAGTTGCGTTTTTTGGCTGAGTTTGGTGCATTTTGTGGCGATCCTGAACACGCTGGACACGACATGTGCGTAAAGAGTGGCAACCCCTACAGTGATCGGGGCATGGCCACGCGCTGCCGCGACACTTCTGCGTCCTTCGAGCGTGTTTTAACACGTGATGATGGACCACCCTTTTGGGCGGTGGGGGGGGGGGGGTTGCTGCGATAAAACGCCAAAAAACCTGCGTTTCGAACACGTTTGAAAATACGATCGACGAATCTTATGAGGGCCTGGCATGTCGCAGGGTGTTGCGAGCGAAAGCGCGTCCGATGAAGCAGTCATGGACAATGCGTATCGCGCACGTCTCAAGACCTGATCGAACCCCCTCTCGGTGTTCCCAGGTGGTGTCGAAGCACAAAAATCTGAATTTCTTAGGGTAGTCACATGGTCCCTTCATCTTATATACCCTGCAAAACCCGAGGGCAGAACCCGATAACGAAGGTCAAGGACCATACCAAGACACCATGTGGGAAACCCTGAGCCTTAAAAAAGGAGCACGAGGCCTTGGCGACCTGACTTGTCGCATCCGCCAGAGCCTGGCGCGCTGCGCTGGCTTTGTTCAGCGCATCGTTGGCCTTGCGGCGGCGCCAAAAGCGCAACCAAAAAAACCCCCAACAAGTTGCGGAACTTGAGCTGTGAGAGCTTTTGGCAGCGTGAGGATTCAAAGGCTACTTCTAGGCACAAGATGCCAGCTTCCACAGCCAGCGGGCGTGTTTCGTGGTTCACAGCCATGGATACCACTGTGTCAGCTCGGCTTCTTCCGTGGCACTTTACTCCAGTACTCGCCTCGGCTTCCTGCCGAGAAGCGGAACAAGCAGACCCGGATCCGGTCTCCTTCCCCCTAACCCAAGCAGAATTTTGTGATGCCACCCCCCCCCCCCGCCCTGCGGGACCCCCCCCGATCGCGGAGTAGCTGCAAACCGATACCGTGGAGGGTCCCGCCTCCGCGGGGGAGTGCACCATTTTCGCCCCCCCCCCCCCCCCCCCCCCCCCCCCCCCCCCCTCATCTCCACATGCTGCATGCTCTGGGTCGGCCCGGCTGCCGAGGCGGCACGCACAAGCGTTTACAATTATTATGTGGTGGCTTTGACTATGCAAAGGGAAAAAGCTTTGCTGAGGCTCTGCTCTTCGCAGGTTTAGAGTTTAGGAGTCAGGGCTTGGAGATGGACGTTCACTCTTTCCGAAGCCCTCTTTTCCGCCTGAGATTGGGCGGCCTGCATCATTCCCTGCGCGCCATAGGAATTCAGGAAGCTGTTCCTCGGACGGTTCTTCGGGCTCTTGGTTCAGGTGGCTGAGGGCTGGTTCTGGCTGTTTACTTAAATTCAGGTGTGTTCGTGTGGGGGCCCTAATCCTACGCCGAAGCCTAAACTACCCTTATCCCTGAACCCTAAACCCTTTAGCCTAAGGTTTAGGAGTCCCCCCACAACAAAGCAACGACCTGCAGAGCGGCGTGTTGCTCCTTGTCTTTCCAGTCGCAGAAAGCTTCTGCGACTCCCTCTCTTTCGCCTCAGGTAGACTTTAGGGTTGGGATGTTCCCCTTATACTAGCAAGTCCTGAATAGGGATTATGGTACCCCGAATATAATCCCCATTCAAGATTGTTAAGAGAAGGCGGAACATCCTAACTTTAGGGTTTAGTTCCTTCAGGGGTTTAGGGTGGTTTAGGGCCGCTGAGGCTTGAGGGGTTCAATTGGTGCAGGGGTTGCAGGGGTGTGGGGTTTTGGGTTGCACGGTTCAGCCCCAAACCTCCGAACTTGAGCTCCGCTTCCTGCATTTAGGACTTCGGGTTAGGGCCATTTCGGGCTGCTTTTGCTGGGCAGAACAAAAAGAAGACCTGACAACCCTATGAAAACGGTAGCAACATCCATGTGCAGGCACAGTAGCGGTGGCCAGCTGCGACTGCACGTTGTTTCTGGTGATCCTCAGATCGACGGCTTTGGGGCTTGAGGGCTGAGGGGAACTCACAGCCCCCACGTTTTGGGGTTCAGTGTTTCAGGGTTAGAGGGCAGTGTGTGTGTGTGTGTGCCTTCACGAATCGGCAGGCACGCTTCAAATCTCAACTCCTTCTAAAGTCTAGACCTAAGGCCCATGAAACATCTTCAACCTGAGAACTCTACAACCCAGAATGCCCAAACACTCCCAAATCTTCCCACCCTCAACACTGAACCCTAAACTTCTAGACCAGCCCTCCCACACCACCCTTAAACCTCTCACAGCTTCGAATCTTCGGAGCTCAGGTCAAGATCCACCGGATTGATCCCCGCCAGCTGGCTCTTCGATTTGATGCCTGCGATTGGTCCAGTTCAGGGTTTGGGAAATTGAAGGGGTTGAAGGGGTTGAAGGGGTTGAAGGGGTTGAAGGGGTTGAAGGGCTTGAAGGGGTTGAAGGGGTTGAAGGGGTTGAAGGGGTTGAAGGGGTTGAAGGGGTTGAAGGGGCTGAACCCCCAGCAAGAGCACCCCTTTTTTGGGAACCCACCCCCCATTAAGTTTAAGGTTCAAGGAAAAAGCTGCTACATACCAGCGGGGAACAAGGAGAACATTCCAAGCTTAGGGCATACAAGTGCACTTTTTTTCGGGGTTTGGGGTGTTGTGCTTCGCCCCCCCCCCCCCCCCCACCTCGCCATGAAAACAAAAGAAGTGCAACAAAAACTGGCCTCAACGCCTCCTGAACCTTCCAAAAAGAAACAAAGAACCCCCAACAACACTTAAGCCCTTAACCCTAAAACTTTACAATCCATTTAAAGCTCGGAGACCCAAAAAACCCTACAACCCTACGACCCTTCAACCCTTCAACCCTAAACCACACTGAACCCCTCAGCCCTGAAACCCTTCAACCCCGAAAACATTATTATTATTATTATTATTATTACTACTACTATTATTATTATATTTTTTGTATTCTTATTATTATTATGAATTCTGTCGCCTTGGTGTTGGAACTGCGTCAGCAGCGACTGGCGCCCTGCAGGCTGCAAGGGCAAGTCGCGGACGAAGCCCACCAGCTCCGGATCCAAGCCCCGCCTGTGAAGGTGATTCTACTCTACTCTCCTCTCTGATTGCGGGACCAAGGCTTGCGATTGGCTCTTTTGGTTTTTTGGAAGAAAACTTGAACCCAAAATCTTAGGGACCAGGGCTTGCGATTTGGCTCTTTGGAGGAAAACTTGAACCCAAAATTTTGGGGACCAGGGCTTGCGAGTTGGCTCTTCGGAGCAAAAAATGACCCCACAATCTTAAGGGCCAGGGCTTGCGATTTGACTTTTTGGAAGAAAAAACTGAACCCAAAATCTTAGGGACCACGGCTTGCCATTTGGCTCTTCGGAGCAAAAAATGACCCCACAATCTTCGGGACCAGGGCTTGCGCTTTGACTCTTTGGAGGAAAACTTGAACCCAAAATCTTAAGCACCAGGGCTTGCGATCTGACTCTTTGGAGGAAAACTTGAAGCTTGTCATTTGGCCTTTTGGAGCAAGACTTGAAGCCAAAGTTTTAGGGAGCAGGGCTTGCGATTTGGCTTTTTGATGTTCTTTGGAGCAAAACTTGAACTCAAAATCTTAGGGACCAGGGCTTGCGATTTGATTGTTTGGAGCAAAGAAATGACCCCACGAAACCTTGAATGAAAAGGTGCTCTTTGTTCACTCTCACCTTTCGTTCGTTTCATTTTCTGTACGCTTTAATTTAAGTATGAATATCTAATTTAATATGTTAAGAGGGGTGTCCAAGATTTTTTGAGTGTTTCGGGTGTCCTTTTCCCTTTTTTGTAGCGAAACATTAAATATACACCCACACCGGAGCTTTTTTTGGAAACCTTGAAAGAAAAGTGCTTCTTTGTCCACTCTCACTATCGTTCGTTTCATTAGGTCTAAGGAATATTATTTTAGCATGTAGAAAAGGGTTGTCCAAGTTTTTTAAGTGTTTCGGGTGTCCTTTTCTTCCTTTTTCTGTAGCCACCCACCTTAACAGGACACCCACACCAGAGACTCCGATTTTGGAAACTTGAAGGAAAGGCGCTCCACCGCTGCCTTCCTGCCGTTCCTTGCGCAAGAGGCAATAAAAGAAAGAAATGATGTTACATGTATCCAAAATTAGGGTGTCCTGTTTTTCTTTTTCTGTAACAAGACCTACTTTTAAAGGACACCCACACCGGAGACCTCCATTTTTTGGAACCTTTGAAAGAAAGCAGGCCGAAGACCTAAGATTTCTGTGCTCCCAAAAGACAAATCGCAAGCACCGTCTCCCTAAGATTTTGGAGAAGGGGATGCTCCCCAAACACACCCCCCAAGATTTTGGCAAAATGTGTTCCCAAAAGACAAATCGCAGGCACAGCCCTCCACAAAATTTGGACAAGCTTATGCTCCCAATCAGTTTTTCTTTTTAAAGATGAGTTTACATGTCTTCCTACCTTGTTCCTTTCTTCTTCCGGTTCGCTCGCTCGTTCTCTCTCTCTCTCTCTCTCTCTATCTTTTTCCTTTATGGGCGGCATGTCTTGTAGAATTGGAAGACGAGGAGGAGGGTGAACTACAAAGACAGAGATTTGCTGAAGCAGAGAGGGAGCGAGACAAGGCGAGGCATAGAGAGAGAAGCATAGACCGTGGGAGAGAAAGGGTCTCTTGACTCTTAGCTTCCCCTTTCTCAAGTCCCTATTAATTTTCTTTCTTGTGGAAAAGAAAGAGGAAAAGAGAAGAGAGAAGAGGAATTTACATGTTCTTCCTACCTTGTTTTTGTCCCTCCTTCTTCTCTCCCCCCTGACCCTGTCTCTTTTTCTCTTTATCTCCTCATTTTTCTGTTAAAGTGGTACGGGAAGGCGGAATGAGATGAAGGCAGCGTCCTCCCCTGGAGGCACCTGCCCACAAACAAATTTCTTGGAAGCTGATGCTCGGTGCCTCCAGGGGGGGGACGTTGCCTTCCTCTCATTCGTACCACTTTAAAAGAAAAATGAGGAGATATAGAGAAGGAATGACAGGGTCAGGGGGAGAGAAGCGGGAGGGACAAGAACAAGGTAAGAAGAGGCCATGATAGTACGACTTACGTGACAGCAGCGTGCCCTCATGGGAACGTCAAGTTTTCCTCCAAAGAGACAAATCGCAAGCCCTGGTTCCCAAGATTTTGGATTCAAGTTTTCCTCCAAAGAGCCAGATCGCAAGCCCTGGTCCCTAAGAATTTGGGTTCAAGTTTTTCTTCCAAAGCCTAAGGTTTTGAGTTCAAGTTTTCCTCCAAGGAGCCAAATCAAGCCCTGGTCCCTAAGATTTTGGGTTCAAGCTTTCTTCCAAAGAGCCAAATCGCAAGCCCTGGTCCCTAAGATTTTTGGGTTCAAGTTTTCTTCCAATCTAAGAACATGTCTGGCGACCCCGAAAAGACATAGACTCCCAGCTTCCCACGTGACGTGACAGCCTCGTACCCTCGTCGGAATGGGTTTGGTAATAACAAAACCCGAGTGCCAGCTTCCAAATAAACCCTATTTAAGCCACCCACGGGGGGGGGGGGTGGGGGACCATTGGGAGGGAGGGGGGGGGGGGGGGGGGCAGGCCGCACCCGCATCATATATATATATATATATATATATATATACTATTTGTAATCGAAAAGCATCTGTTATAGCCTTTGGATGGTTGGTTTACGGGTAGTTCTCTACATGTAGGGTCCCCTTCTAGGTCCCCCTATCGAATACCACACCCTTATAATGAGGAGTCCGCACAAGGACTCGAGTTCTGCAGAGAACTCGCCTAGGATGTAATGGCATTCGAGGAGTGAAGACTTGAAGGAGGGTGCAGAGCTTACGGCTTCGGATTGAAGGCCTTAGGGCCTTTAGGGCCTTTTGGGGCCTTCAGGGCCTTTAGGGCCTTTAGGGCCTTTAGGGCCTTAGGGCCTTTAGGGCCTTCAAGGTTTAGGAGTTCGTGCTTAGGAGGTTGGGGCCTCCGGGGCCTTTAGGGCTTAGGGCTTAGGTGCCTCTAAGATTTCAGACTTTTGGGGCCTTTAGGGACCGGCTGTACTTAAGGCGTGCACATCTGGCTGACGACCTAAAAACCTTGAAACAAGCGGCTCGTCGCTGAAGGTGACCAAGCCCAGGATCTCTGTCTCCTCTGTCTCATTGGAGCCTGTGCTCACTGTAGAGAGCGCCCGACTGGCTTGGGGATCTTGCTCCTTCCGTTTACTTCTGGCGCCCGAGTTTCCTCCGAGTTTCCTAAATGCCGGCTCGGATGCGGGCATTCCTACAGGGAAGAGGGGGATAAGAATCAAGTAAAAGAGGAAACAATAGTACCATAGTGCTGCCAAGGCCCTTTGTAGCCCATGTAGTAATGTAGTAGAAGTGTGCCCTTTTAATTCCTAATCTGCATGTTTGGGAAATCTCCATGTTTGGGCCTTCCATCTTCTCCCATCTTAAAAGCTTAGCAATCCAAAGAAGACCCCACAACCCCCTCCCCCCCCCCAAAAAAAAAGGAAACTACAGAAATAAGACATAATAAATGTAAATTAAAACTAAGAACAAATAGATTGATAAAATGAACGTTCCCCAGGATCAAAAAGAATGTCCCTGCTGGATCTGAAGGATAGCTTATGAGTTCGGGAGTTTGGGTGTTTAGAGTTCAGCAGCTCAGGTCAGGATTTAACCTTATGTTGCTGTGAGCTCTTGCCCGTTGTAGCGGATTTGGGGGATTTGACGGTGTGGCACTTCCCGTGTTGCCGTCTGTGCCCATAACCCCCAAAAGTAAACCCCAACAATCCTTCAAACCCTGAACCCTGAACTGGTCTGGCTCCTCCCTCCGTCTAAGCACTGGAATTTGACACCAAAGTGAAACGAAGCAGCCAGCTTCCGGCTCCAGCTGCTCCAGCCCCAGTTCAAACCCATCTGGTGTTGGTCCTTGGTCCCGCAGCTGTGCTCCCGTAAGTCACATTGCCTCTTGCACAACTCAATGTTGAGGGCCGAAAGTGAGGCAGAGACCTATGAAGCCAGTGAGCATGCACAGGAGCAGGCTGACCCTGAACCGTACAGCCGAGCCACCCTGGACCGCATTCACATCCAACACCGGTTGTTGCCTGAACTCCAGGCAGCACGCCGTGTACACGGCGGACTTGCATTCGCGGCATTCCTCAGTTTGGGCTTCGGGCAGTTTTGGGCTTCAGGGTTTGGGACCCAAACCTGGGCTCGGCTCGAAGACGGCTTCTGGGAGACATGAGAATCGTCGAAGTATGGCTGAGCAGAGGCACCTCTGAATCGTCAATCAACCTTTTGCTTCGGAAGATGTCGGTCGCCTGCTTGACCGCATCCGCCTTCTCACGGGGTTCGTGGGACTTTCGGCTCGGGGGTGGGCTCGGAAACGCCCTGTGGGCCTTAGGCACCTGAGGGCTTCCCCAAAAACCTGAAAAGCTTCTGCCCACAGCTTGCCAGTCCTTTGAGTGCGAGTAAATGACGTCGATGGGGCCCGTCACGCTATTGAGGACCACTTTGATGTCCTGAACCAAGGTACGCAAAGCAACATGAGCGGGATGGGTATTGCTATTTGCTCCATTTTGGGGGCTCAGGTCTTCTTGTCATGTGGGCGGGATGTGCTAGTTCCTGAAATGCTCTAAACCCCGTAAACCCCCCTCAACTCCTGCCTCCTTTGGACGCGGTTTCCAAGCCAGATCTGTAAGCGGATATGCAGGCTCTGGAGGCCGTGGAGGCTGTGGAGGCGGTGGAGGCTGTGGAGGCAAAATGATAGGGGGATCCTCCGGCTTGGCCGGGGGAGGAGTGTTGCTTGCAGCGATCATGGCCGCAGTCCTGGGAGCCGACGTAGGATTACTTGGGTCTAGGGAGCTTAGGGTTACTGTGCCGAAGCCTTCAGTTTTCTGGCTGCTCGTGCCCTGGATGAGATCTAGACTCCAAGACGTCCTGTCGATTGAAAGAAGAAAAGATTTTAGAAATGCGCAAAAGCCTGAATTGAAAGGAAATCACAGCAGCTGGCGCCATGTTTCGGAATGATAGGGCCAACTCAAAAGACTCACCACCCTTCAATGCCTCTAAACCGCAAAACCGCCCCAAAAAGCCCTGAGGCAAGCGCCGTGAGCTCTGAAGGAGCACGGCCTCCTCGCAGCTCTCACACCTCGCCCAGAGGAGGCACCACCGAAACAAACCCTTGAGGGATTGGGGCGCAGGGTTTAAGGGCTGTTGAAACAGTTGCAACTCAACGCTTATGGGCACACAGGGGTTGGGCCCATAGAACCTGAAAGCTGTTCCAAATCAATCCCAGTTCAGGGACTTAACGTGATCAGCTCACACCAAACCTCGAACCTAAACTCCAACCATGTCACCAGCGTCGAGGGCATATCAGAATCAGGTAGCAGCCTCCCTGAAACCAGAGGACAACCAGCCAGCGTTAGCATGAGAGGCACAGAAGCTGTGTGTGTGCACACACCCACACACATCTGAGAGTGCAAAAACGCAGCCGACAAGCCACAAGGCATGGATATCTCTCCACACAAAAAGGAACCGCCGGCCCTGGCAACAATCACAAAAAACGCACAACCCAAAGCATCAAGACCGAAATCCAGCAAAACCTACGCGTCTATGCTGGTCCTTAGCTCCACGCGCGCCATGGCAAGCTCCAAGCCCGAATACCAAGCTCAAAACCTGGCAAAGGCAGGGAACCAGGGGTTTCTATCAACTCGTCTTTCCACGGCCCACAACGTGCAAGGATTTCATACTAGCGGGTTAGCCCCACCCCTGAATGGCCCCATGGACGAAGGCACACCAGACCCAACAAACCAACTTCAATTTAGTCAGCAAGAGAAGCCATGAGAAACACTACATTTTTGAAAGTTGGAGAAAAAAGCTTGGGGTTTGCTACGTGTGCCGAATCAAGCCCCGAAACATGTACGTGCTGAACCTTGGGCCGCTTATCACTAAAGTTTGGACAGGGGAGCTTGCCCAAAGCTCGACCTTGTGTCCTTACGCGAGTCCTCCTGGACCCAGCATTCTCCGAAGTCCAAACCCGTAAACAATACACCCCGTGGCCCCTTGTTCAAGCTGCAAGCCCCCCGTTTATCAGAATTACGGCCACGAGCAGGCCTGCCAGCCCCGCAAGAAGCCGCATAACCTTCATGTTTCCCAAGGTTTGAAAACTTAGGGCTTCCGACGAATGTTTGGATTTGAAGTTTTCGGATCGTATGGCTTTTTTGGGGAATTGACACAGCAGTTGTTGTGTTCCCAAACGGCCTTCAAGTCACAGTTAGCTCAAGACATAACGCTAAGTGGAAGCAACGTTCCAAGAACGGACCTCGGGGACCTTGGGCCCAACAGCTCCTCCAAGCGCCCCAAAGACTGCTCAGGGTTGTAACATGACGAAAACATCGGAAGCAGAATGTTGCAACTTTCAGGCTTCTCAAGCAACTTACCATTTAAGGGAGGTCTGCCATGTTTCGCGGATCTCTGGCAGCATCTCGAAATCCCAAGCTGCTGACAAACCTTTCACAACTAGGAAGCGTTAACCTCCACCTTGTGCCCCCGAAACACCCGAATCTGAGCCCCAGTGCAGAAGCCCAGTTCCTCAACTTTGTGTTTCGGGATCAAAAGGTTCCTGGGACGCATTCAAAACCCACACCTGAAACTGGCTTGAGGCTTTCAGGTTAAGGCCAGGCGAAGCACGGGAAAGCCATGCGCGGGGCGGCGGCAATGGACGAGGGTTTTCGATCCATGCCCAAAACTTGCGGCGCGCAAAAAGCAGTTGTTACTTCGCATGAAAAAACTCGAAGCATTTCTCTTAATCTCCCGTCTTGACACCATATGCCCTCACCATTGTACCTTGAACACGAAACTGCCCAAATCATCCTGCAAGCCAACCCTCAACACCCAAAAAAACTTTCCGGTGTCACTTGTCCATGTCCAGAACCATGTTGAAAAGCTGAATTCGGCTCGAATGTCGAGCCTGGAATTTGCAGGCTGGGGGTTTGTAAGAACATCCACACACAATCCAAAACTGCTATTTGCATGACTTGCACACCGCCCGTGGTTCCTACGACTGAAATCCAAGGCAAGACTGCCCATCTTCCCCGAAGGGTGCTCCCCATGATTGGAAAGTTCTTACCCTGAATGCACTTCTCAGGACACATGAATTGAAGGCCCTATAATGTGAAGTAGAAAGTGTTTTGCACAATGCAAAGCGGTCGAGTGTATGCGCGTATGGCCTACCATGGTAGCTGACGCGGCTCGACCGCAAAAAAATGCATTTTGCCACAATGGGCCGAGTGCCAATTTGGAAGTACGACGTTCGACTTTCCACACATATACTGGAACATGAAGAAGTTCAAATCAGAGGCTTTTGTCTCTGCAGCGGCCGTGGCAAGCCTCCCCGTCATCGTAGGAGAGCCGCTGTCTTATGAGCGTTAGAAACTGTTTAAAAAACGGGTGCTAGAATTTTCCGGCTCAGATGATCTCAGATGCATGTACAGGCTTGGGGCGCTGACTGTGGGCTGGCATGCTTTGGGCAGCTGAAGACGATTCTCCAATGTACTGCTCGGCTTGCCGTGTATGTGACCGCATTGCTACTGTACTATGTGTTTCCTGCTTTAGGAAGGTTCATGTACATCTTGGATGAAGAATGAATGCAGCTAAGTTGTTTCACGGCACCAAGAGCGTTCATGAGCAACAACAATGCAAACAATACTTGTGCATCGTTTAAGTTGCTGAGAATTCATGGAGGGTTGTTGCTTGTGCTGGAGCTTTGCGCTTGAACATAAACTTGATTTGCGGCCTGGACGGCTTTTTGTGCAAAATCAGGCTAAGGCTAAGGGATCGGCTCTCAAGTCTGGCTCTAGCACCAAGGTGAAGCAAGAAGCGAACAAAACACCCTGGACATGGCATCATCATGGACTTGACACTCAACACAAAGAAACCGCTTCCCTATCGGGCCGCATAGAGGCATAGATTCAGCCCTAAAACCTCAAACCCCTAACCAGTTGCGGATCTTTAGGGTTTAGGGGAGATGGCACAGCGCTGTGCTGCCAGGTTGCAAGAAGACCAACCGAAATGCGGCCCGACATCATTCGCGGCCCCATCTTGGCGACGAGACCAATTTCGTCTTGGAGCCATTGTGCGCATGCCAGGGAGAATCCTCCCTTTTTTCGAACTCTAGGTACCTCAGCAACGGCTGTAAAAGTAAAAGCCTCGATTTCGCATAACAGAAGCTTGAACATTGAAACATCTCTCCAAGCAATTTTTCATCTTAGTATCATCTCCTCTCCGAGAGTGCACACTGTTTCGAAAAATTCCAAAACACTGAACCCTACGCTCTCTTTTTTCTCGCTCCAAACCTCAGGGCTCAAGAAAGCGCAGAAAGATCTTCAGACTTCCAGGGCACGAGCACCCACAAGTCCCCCTCATTGTGGGTGGGTGGGATGGACATGTGCCTGCAGCCGTGGCCGTAGGTGTCCGTACATGTTCTGATTGTTGTTGTTGATCTTATACGTCTTCTGATTCGAGAACATCGAGAACGACCCAGGGACTTGTCCCTTTTGGCCCCAACATCAGGTTAACGCGGCTGCGTTAGTCGAAAACTCTGCGACATCGCCCCTTTGCCTTATGCAAGGGGCGGAGGAGGCCTTCAAAACCTGGCCCATACACACTCCTGGTGCCATGAAACTTTGAAACTATAGTTCGAAGAGATTCTTCTTCTCAACTTGCAGAAAGTGCACTGGGTCCACTTCCTCAGACGATGGCGATGAAGTCGTAGTCTCCTGATCGAGGCCCCATTCGAAAGCCCACTCGGAATTTGGACCCGAACAAAACACCTAATCCGAAGACAAACCTATGGAGGCACGAGCATGCCACTCATGCAGAGTCAAGCACTTCTGCCAAATTTTTCGCCTCCCCCACTTGAACTGTGACCAAAAGCCTTGATACTTGGGTGAGCCGCAAGCCCGAATGCTCCCCCGCGCGTCCCAATCAAAAAAAGGCAGAAAATCCAATTGTTTAGGAAGGTTAAGGCTGAGGAGGCGGGTGCCCTCACGGGTGTTGGACGGCTGCGTCGTAGAGCTCTTTGTAACAGGGTGCGCCCCTCGGCACTCTCCTGTTGTTTCCAGGACCCAGCCGTTCGCCCGCCCCCGTCTCTTTCGAGCTCCTCTCAACTGTGCATGGCACTACAGTGGGCCGCCATTCCTAGCCAATGGTCTTCCTCACACCCCGACTCCTCCCGCACACTGGTCAGAAAGCTCGGTAGCCGGGTTCTTTGGGGCTTCGTTCTGACTTCAGAGCGGTTCAGGCCCTAGAAAGGACTCGCAGCTCAGGATTATGGCAGTCGAGAACTCTGAGCCCCTCGCAGCCGGGGTTTCGTCAAAGTGCTGGTGCTCGTCGAGTCGAAGTTTTTGTTGATGTGCTCGTCGATATGCCCGATATGCTCGAGGTGCTCGCCGAAGGGCTCGCCGACGTGCTCGCCAACGTGCTCGCCAACGTGCTCGCCAAGGTCCTCGTCCTCGTCGACTCGTCGAGGTGCTCATTGGAGTGCTTGTTGAAGTGCTCCCCGAGGGCAACGGCACCAGAGTGCCAGAGCCAGATCTTTGTCCGCTCACGACGCAAGTGAAGGACTCACATACTCGTCCGGTATCGCAGTCACCGTCAGTGTCACACTCAGGCACCACACAAGTGAAGGACTCACATACTCGTCCGGTATCGCAGTCACCGTCAACATCACACTCAGCCACCACACAAATGCCGGAGGCACATACTCGTCCGGCATCGCAGTCACCGTCAACATCACACTGAATCCTCACGCAATTGTCGGAGTAACATACTTGTCCGTCATCGCAGTCAGCATTAACTTCACAATCACCGAGCGACACGATCCCCACTCTCACAAGCTGACGCTTCGCCAGTGTCATGGGGCCCAGGAGGTTCGCCTCGACGAGGTAGCGGGCCCCAAGCAAACTCCACAGGAAGCGGGACAACGCCATTTTGAAATTTGGCATCTCGGCTGCAGCAACGTCCAAAAGCTACCGAGCCAAACATACGCAAGACATAGATCAGCAAAGGTGCCACACAGACACCGTCATTGCCATGCCGTTGCTTCCTACGGTCTCAAGCTCAAAAACGTGTACAAAGGTAAGCGGTTGCTGGGTAGTCTTGGGGCTGACAGTTGAAGCTCTGATTCAGGGCGAGGTGCACGTGCCGCAGGTTCAAGGTGTGAGGCCGGACTTATGAGGACTATGATCTTTTGGGTACTGGAACATTCCACCTGTCTTCGATGCATGGGGAAGGCCCCTTGAAGAGGGTAGAGGGGCCGGGATGGCCGCATGAGGATGCCGGCACCCTTTATCCTCTCAAAGGGTCTCAAGAAGCCACGTGTGCGTATGGACAGGTGACAGGTAGAGAATCTATCGTCGTGACTCCTTCGTCTTCAGGGAGCAGCAGGCAAGCCGTGCCAGTGCTACATACCTAGTGACCTAGTGCAAACAAAGCCTTTTCCCTACCTGTCACCCCAACACAAATTCCCGGACCCACCCCCCTCGTCCAACCCTAGAGATGATTTGGTTGGGATCTGCTTTGTGAAAGTTTTTTGGAATTTCCTGGGACTTGGGACGTGGGCCGGCCCGGCTGCCGGGGTGGC